AACAGCTGGACAAAGCAGCCTGACAGACTACAGCCAAGATTTCTGCATCTTCTTAGAATCCCGCATGACAGCACCCCTTACCAGCAGGAAGTAGTTCAGAAAGAACAATGCCCAAATTCCAAAATATTGTCTATAAATGTTTGTTTTCAGTTAAATGGGCATATATATAATGAAGGGCTTCTTATCCCCTGCTCTTAATTGAAGGCTCTCACTCTCATCCAAGAACATAGCTCACACTGGGCTGAAAATGATAGCCTATGGGCCATTCTCACTGTGAACAATAGGAAGATAGAATCATGTCTTTTCATCTTGGCCTTTCTCTTTGCTTAGTGTGATATCTGAATGAATGTACAAATACAAGCAAAGGCATATAGCCTTCTGTCCTCTTCATTCTCCCCAAAAGTCGTAAATCTTTTTGTAGAAACCACACACTTGTATTTTGTAAGGCCAGAACCAATAAGAGAAAGTAGCATTGAGGAAACACTACATGTTTTCTCTTACATGTATAACCTAGATTTTAATAGACGTGTCAGAGTATCTATCTTTGTGGAGAGCCACAAAAATAGAAAGTGGGAGGAGTGGAGGAAGAAATCTTAAGGGAGATGGAAAATAGAGTAATGTAATACATATAACAGGAAAGATTATACAAGGGAAGACTAACTGGGAAAAGAAAGGGAACCAGTTGGAGGAGGCATGGGGAATAAATGGCAACACAGTATGCATGACGATGGCATGCTGAACTATCCATTATTTCATATGCTAACCTAGAAAATTAATTTAAAAGACACCTACATCAAATGGTGAAAAGGAGACATGCTAATTTTGTATATCCCAAAGTAATGTCAGACAGAAAAGAAGGCAATGACTAAGGTATAAAACAAGACTGGGCTTAGAGATATGGTTAAGTTTTTAAAAGAACTTGCTATTCTTGTGGAGGAGTCAGATATGTATTCCAACATCCACATGGTAGCTCATACCCATCTCTAACTTCAGTTCCAGGGGACATAACACCTGCTTCTGCCTTCCTTGGGTACAAGCACACACATGATACATACATACATACAATAAAAATAAAACTTTAAAAATGAATGTGCTATAAAGCACCACAAACATCTATTTTCCAACAACATCTGTGCATCTTATAGCACAAGAGACTCTGAACAATTTGATTTATGTCTGAGCTATTCTTCCTTTGATGTGGGTAAGGTAAAACCTACCTCACATACTTACCAACAATAAAAATATACAAGGAATAAGAAAATGCATACAGACCCATGTGTAGAAGATAAAATCCATCAGGAAACAATAGTGGGTACTGCAAAGTCAGTTGGTTGCCACAAAAGTAAGTCCTTTAACAAGCACCATGCTTCTACTATTTCTACTTGATTGGGGGAGGGAGATGAAAAACAAGAAAGTCCACTCTCATGTTAGATCAGTTAAAGGGATAAAGATAGATGTTAGTGCAATGACACATTTAAAATAACAGAAGCCACAAAGCATCTTTAACAACAAAGGTGAAAAAGAATAACAACTGTTTTGTGTAGAGTGGATAAGCAGAAGCGACAACTTTCACTCTAAGCCTGCCATTCAAGTTTCTTGTTAGCACATAGGGTTAATCATCAGCTTCAGCTCAGGGAAGAACTATGTGTAGCAACTGATTAACTGATACCTCTTCTAGTGTCCAGGAATTTACCATGAGCATCAGCGAAACTAGGGAGGGAAGCAGAGGTAAAGTGATAGGTGGGGAACCTTTAAAGACTCAACTCTGCCAGAGATCTGTCCATAGGCCTCTACCATGGCCCAACCCACCCCAGTTCTGCCAAGGCTGAAGGCCAGAGGCTTTAAGGAAACTGTACCACATAAGCTTGTTACTAACTGATTTAAGAGAAAAAAATCTGGCAATGCTGTAGCTCACACTGAGAAAGCCTGGATGACTCTGGACAAGTCAGATCAGTTCTTATATTAACTGATACCATTAGATCACAGCTGCTGCTGCCAGCAGCCCAAAAGGTGGGAGTGTGAGAGAAGCAACAGAAGGATGGCATACGATTGGACTCTATATCCAAAGATGTTGGAGGAAGAACTGATGTGGAAGGCTAAAAGTTACTGTGTGTGCTGAACTGACAGGATCTGGCTTGACAACGGGCAGGGCAAAGTTTACCATGGGGGTAGGAGTGCAGTTGCCCAACTTTCTATTTGGTTAATGTGATGATCAATATATGACTTCTAAACTGAAGCAGATGTCTCCATAGATGTCTGGCCTTTCCTGGCTGCCTCCCATAAGAGGCAAATTGTAGGGAGGAAAGACAGGACAGAGGGAGCAAATGAATAACATATTTAATTTTCTGATTATGAGCCAGGTATTTTGTTTGTTATCCCTTTTAATCCTAAAAATCATTTGTAGATATACTTTTTCCCATTTTAGAGATATAAAACCCAAGGTACAGATATGGAAAACAACATGAGCATACAAATGCATTAGAGGACCAAACCAGAGAATTCAAAACCAACAATTGTTCTATGGAAATCTTGCTGGCATCCACACAAAACAGCATTTACTGAACTGCTCAAAGACAATGCTGTCAGCATGTACTAAGCTCTGCCACAAGCAACAGACTTTCTTTCCTCTGCTTTATCTGGACAGGCTTGGTTTTTTGTTTGTTTGTTTTTGTTGTTGTTTTGTTTGTTTGTTTTTATAACTGCCCTCTGTCTTTATGTATACTCTAAAATAGCTCCCCCTCTCCCCTCTCTCTGCCTCTCTAGAAAGACTCTGTAGTGCTATTCAGCAAGTGTGAAAGGCTTCTTGCATACTTCACACCAACTCCACTGCTGGCATTTCCCTACTCTACTGCTTCCCACTTCTTCACTCCACACCACACTTTTTACCCTATGTTCTAGCACCATGCTAGTAAACAGTGACCTTTAAAAGTATCTCTGGCCAGGTGCAATGGTGCAGGCCTACAAATCCAACATTCAGGAGGTTCAGGAGGCTGAGGCAGGAGGATATAATGAAAAGGGCATTAATGGGCTACATGTTGAGATACATTATTCACAGAGACAGATAAACAATCCTAAAATTTGTAGGAAATGTGAAAGAGCATAGTCAAAACAAAACCAAGCTGAAGAAACACAGCCAGAGACATCATATTACCTGATCTCAAATTACACTATAGAGATATTGTAATACAACTGCTACTGGCACAAAACAGACATGTGGGCCAAGAGAACACAACAGAAGAACCAGCCATAAACCCACAAGCTATGGAAACCTAATTTTTGATGAAAGTGTCAAAATCATGTGCTGGAGGAAAGACAGCCCTTTCAACCAACAGTGCCAGCCAAAGTCAATAACTACTTACAAAATAATGAAATTAGACTTCATATCTCTCAGCTTGTATGAAAAATAAACCAAAATCCATCAAAGATCTCAATTTTAAACTGGCAACACTGAAACAAAGGGTAAAAACTTAAAGATATAATTACAGACAACAAATCTCTGAACAGGAAATAGCGAACGCATTGACAACAACAACAATAAATCAGTAGAATAAAAAAGTCTAGAGAATAGGGGAAAGTCTTTATCAGCTAGATAACATACAAGGAGTTAATATCTATAATACATGTTTTAAAACTTTAAAAGAAACAATTACTAATTAGAATACAGGCCAACAATCTCAAAAGACACTGTAGTGCTTTGGATAAGAATGGCCCTTATAGGCTCACATATTTGAATGTTTAGTCCCTAGGGTGTGGAACTATTAGAAAGGATTTAAAAGATTAGGAGGTATGACCTTGTTGGAAGAAGTGTGTCACTGGGGGTGGACTTTGTGGTTTCAATAGCTTATGTCAGACCCAGTCTCCCTCTCTGCTTATGGGTCAGGATGTAGAACTCTCAGCTACTCCACCAGCACCATATCTGTTGGGAATGCTGCCATGCTCCCTGCATTGATGATAATGTACTAAACCTCTGAACCTTTCAGCAAGCCCCCAATTAAATGCTTCCTTTGAAAGTGGTGACTTGGCGATGGTCTCTTAGCAGCAATTAAACAGTGATTAAGACTAATTCTTCTTAAAGGAAGAATTACAAATGGTGAATAAATATATATTAAAATGTTCAGCATCTCTATCCATCAAAGAAATGCAGATTAAAACAATGCTGGAATTCCATCTCACACAGTGAGAATTGGTGGCATCAAGAAAGCAATATGGGGAATGAGGAACACATACATACAACTGGTGGGAGTGTGTGTGCTGGTGAATCAACTATGAAAAGTAGTGTAGAGGCATCTATAAAACCCAAACTAGAATTTCCCTTTTACCCAGCTATACCACTCTTGGGCATAAACTAAAGGATTCTACATCCTGCTACATTATTTGTTGCACATCCATGTACACTACACCACTACTCATAATAGCTAGGCCCAGATATTCATCAACTGATAAATGGACAATGAAAATGTGGTACCTATACACAAAGGAATTTTAGTCATCCACAAAGAAAAATGAAATTTGCCAGGAAAATTGGATGAAAATAAAAACAAATTATTTTAAGCTAGTTAACCCAGGCTCAGAAAGACAGCTGCAATATTTTGCCTCTCATAGGCACATTCTTAGTTTCTAAGTGTAAACTATACCTACACCACAAGTGGAAGTAAATATGAGAAAAGGGCAGGAAACTAGAAAGAGACCCATGAGGCTGGGAAACAAAAGAGGCTCTAAGGGAGCAGGTAGGGAAGATACTAGAACAACGTGGGAGGGCAAGGAAAGGGGAAGCAAGGGAATGGTGGATGAGAATCAAATAAAATGAAAGTGTATAAAAATCTCATACTGAAACCTATTAATTACTTTGCAAGTTAATTTTAAAAATTAAAGATCAAAAGGCAAGGGAGGGGAGGAAGTGTCACAAGAACAAGGAAAGAAGATATATCTGACCCTAGCATTTCCAACATGAAAAGGAACTTGGCTCGGTTCTGCCTCTCATAGGGTTCCTAAACATTTACCTTCTTTGTGGTGAGCCACTGGTCGGGGAGCTTGTCTCTTTATATGGAAAGAGGGGGTCTTTGTGGGTCCAGAACCTGGCACAGGTCCATTGGTGGCCTTTGGAGTAGCCTTGATCCCTCCATCCTGCAACCTATATACCAGCTTCCCCACATCCACCTCTGGGCAGGGCTCTGATTGACAGTCAGAAACAGGTCTGTTTGGGGACTTTCTTCCAGGGTCCATTTCCCCACTTTTCTGAATGGATAGTTTGAGGTGCTGCGGTAGCTTTGGGGGATCCAGGTTGCAGGTGATTGTACCATTAGGAGTTTGATGCTGGGTTTCATCTGAAAAAAGTTGGTACAAAGAAGAAAGCTTAATAATGACCTTCAAAAGCATTTTGTTTTGATGCACATATACATATTTAACTTTGAAAATCTGTGCACATTTTCAAAATTATTATTATAGCATAGACTGACTACATCTCACAAGAACAGTCTCTACCCCTCCCAATTTGTATAGTCACAGGTCTCATTCAAATGAGGTTCAATTTAAGATTTTCATCTCACTTTTACCAACACAACAGAATAAACTCTACTATGCCAAGTTGCTTTATTCAAGGAGATACAATTCGAAAAGGACAGAGTGCCCAATCAATTGCATAATTTACTCTTTCCAAATAAATGCACCAACTAATTCTCAAGTAGTTCTTTCAAAAGCAATTTTTTAAGGTTCTTCAAATTTCAAGTTAACAAGCCTAACAGAATTTAATTTCTTTCTCCATCCATATAAAGATATCCTCAAATACCCAATTTATATTCTTCCTTTGGCCTTTGTGGTCCATAATTTCCTATGACCATTTAGAATAAGCTTTTAAGTGATTTTGAATATAGTTAAAGGTTCAAAGAACACAATAACAGCCAGAAAATGTTTTTCTAGAAAAATAAGCCCACAGATACATATTTAAAATTGTGAAAACTAACTTTAAGTTATTCGCTTTTTCCAGAAACAATCAACCAATACCCAGATTAATAATATATACTATGCATGTTATCACCTTCATTAATACTAGGAAACTTGAAATGTGCAAGTTGTAGATTTCATTCTCAATACCACACACACACACACACACACACACACACACACACACACACACACACACACGTAAATAAAACTGTATTAGAGCTCACTAGTTAAGAAAACTATCTGTGTTCATTTGAGAGGTGGATTCACCAATGATAACCCAGGGACCTTATTTGGAATGGTTTTTGTAATGAGATAATAGAAAAATTTAAACATTAACTAGAAAACTAATCTTAAGTAATCACTGTTTTATTTTCTTGTCATTTATCTATAATTATTATAGCAAACATTTTAAGTTAATTATTGAACTCTGGCTGAGAAATGGGTGGAGGGTATAAATGAATCAAAACTGTTCAGACAAACAATAGCTTGGAGGAGTAAAAAAATCATTCTTAGTAAGAATATATTCCATGACACTTACTGAATATTTACATGTAACAATAATCAATGAACTAGGAGACCATGCATTTCAAAGAGGGGCTATGAAAGGAGGAAGGAAAGGGGGAAATGATGTAAATACACTATAATCTCAAAAATGAAAGATAACTTCAAAACAAGAAAATATTTTAAAAAGCAAATAATAAGTTCAGTTTGTTTTGAACATTTATGATAAAAGATGTGAGAAGTTAGACATAGGTTTATGATAGTTTGGTGCTTTTCATTAAGGCTCAAATGTCACACTTAGGAATATGAAAATTATCCCTGGTATGTGGAAAGGAAGCCTTGTCAAATATATGTTTCCTGAACATCTACTTGGATTCAGTATGAAAAGTGGATTAGAGCAAACAAAATAGAGTTTGGAGACATATGGGAATGCTCATGACAATGACCTAAACCAAAATAGCACTAGTAAAGAAAAACAGTCTTTTTGCTGAAGAGCTAGGACAGATGTAAGGTATAGTTAGTTGCACACTCCCATAATCCTAGCACTCTGGAAGTTGATGAAGAAGGATTGAAAGTTCATTTCTAGTCTTGACCATCCACTAAGACCCTGTATCAAGAATAAAACAGATTTAGAATGGCCAAAGTTTTGATATAGAATATGAAAGAGTCTATTTGATGATGATATATACAAACAGAAAATAAATTTGGAAATTGAATATTTAGATGCTATTTGTCAAAAAAAGTGCTGAGTAGGATTGGTTCCTACATAGAATGGTGTTGCAGAAAATTTTAAGAAGTACAGTATTATTTTAGTAGGCACATGGGATTTAGGATGAAATGAAAGGATATAAAGTTGTTACCTTCTCAGCCCACAGAATGGGAAAAGATCTTCACCATCCCCACATCTGACAGAGGGCTGACTTCCAAAATATTCAAAGAACCCATGAAGCTAGTCACCAAAACACCAAAACATCCAATTTAAAAGTAGGATACAGAACTAAATAGAGAATTCTCAATAGAGAAATCTAAAATACCTGAAAGACACTTAAGATATCGCTTCATGAACATAACTCCAGTAGCACAGACACTGAGATCCTTCTCAAACTTGGAGGCTTCTGTAAGGCAAAGGACACAGTGGACACGACCAAACAGCAGCCCACAGACTGGGAAAAGATTTTTCACTAATCCTACCTCTGACAAAGGGCTGATCTCCAAAATATACAAAGAACTCAAGAAACTAGTCAACACAACACCAAATAACCCTATTAAAAAATGGGATACAGAACTGAAGAAAGAATACTCAATAGAGGAAATCAAAAAGGCTAAAAGACAGTTAAGAAAGTGCTCAACATCCTTAGCTATCAGGGAAATGAAAATCAAAACAACTTTGAGATACCATCTTACTCTTGCCAGAATGGCTAAAATTAGAAACACCAATGACAACTTATGCTGGAAAGGATGTGGAGAAAGGGGAACACTCCTCCACGGCTGGTGGGAGTGCAAACTCATACAGCCATTTTGGAGATCAGTATGGTGGTTCCTCAGGAAAATGGGAAACAGTCTACCACAGGACCTGGCAATTCCCCTCGTAGGTATATACCCAAATGATCCACATCCATGCAACAAAGACATGTCCTAAACTGTGTTCATAGCAGCATTATCTGTAATAGGGGGAACCTGGAAGCTACCCAGATGCTCATCAACTGAAAAATGGATAAAGAAGACATGGCACATTTACACAATGGAATACTACTCTGTGGAAAAAACAATGGAATCTTGAAATTCGCAGGCAAGTGGATGGCACTTGAAGAAACCATCCTGAATGAGGTAATCCAGGCACAAAAAAAAGGAACATGGTATGTACTCGCTCATATAGTGATTTTAGACCTAGAGCAAAGGATCACCAGCCTATAATTCACACCACCAGAAGAACTAGTATACAAGGTGGATTCTAAGAGAATCATATAAGGACACTCACAGAAGGGGGAAGATACAAGTTTTCTAGAGTACATGGGGAGTGGGGGGCAGTAAGTGGAGAGGAAACTAAGAGAAAGAGAAGGGAAGGAGGGGAAAGTGTGTAGGACTAAGAAGATTGAGTCAAGGTAGGAATAGACAAGAGGAAAAAGAGAGAGAGCGATACCATAAAAGAGGGAGCCATTATAGGTTTGAAGAGAAAACTGAAACTAATGACTGACTCCACCTAACAATTTGAGCAACAGTGGAAATGCCCTTCCCTGGTAATGAGATAGATGTTTAACTTATCCACCATTATGGACCCCACAGCTAGTCCCTGTTGGAAACAGAAGCAAATACCCACAACTAAACGCTGAGCCAAACTAGAATCCAGATGCAGAGAGGGAGGACAAGACCAGGTTGCAGAAACACATAGAGACAGCTGACCTGAACAAGGAGGAGCTAATGGGCCCCCAGACTGATAGCTGGGAATCCAGCATGGGACTGACTCAGACCCCCTGGACATGGGTCTCAGTTAGAGTGCAATCTAAGGGTCCTCATACAGTAGAACCAGGATGTATTCCTGGTGCACAAAAGGTCTTTGGGGGGCACATCCCCCATGGAGGGATACTCCTTTAACCTAGAGACAGGAGAGAAGTCCTAGTACCTACTCTAAATGACTAGACAGATTTAGATTACCCCTCCTGGAGGGCATCACTCTACATGTGGAGTTGGGGGGATGGAATGGGAGGGTGGTGAGGTGCATGTGAGGGTGGGAGAGAGGGAAAGTGAGAGGGAGGAAGGAAGGGAGGGAAGGAGAGAAAACTGGGATCGATATGTAAAATAAAATTTAAAAAAATATAAAAATAAAGAGAAATAAAGAAGCTCAAATGATAAAATTAAAAGGAAGGAAGGAAAGAAGGAAGGAAGAGAGAGAGGGAGAAAGTGTTCAACATCCTTATCCATCAGGGAAATGCAAATCAAAACAACTCTGAGGTACCACCTTACATTGGCCAGAATGGCTAAAATCAAAAACACCAATGACAATCTATGCTGGAGAGGATGAGGAGAAAGGGGAAAACTCCTCCATTGCTGGTGGGAGTGTAAACTTGTGCAGTCACTTTGGAAATCAATATGGAAAGTGGGACTCCTTTTACAACAAGATCCAGCAATTCCAATCAGGAATATACACAAAAGATGCACATTAATACAACAAGGACATCTGTTCATCTATGTTCATTGCAGTGTTGTTTGTAATAGCCAGAACCTGGAAGCAACCTAAATGCTCCTCAAGCAAAGAATGGGTGGAGAAAATGTGATACATTTACACAATGGAGTACTACTCAGAGTTTTTAAAAAATAACATAAAATAAAATAAAATAAAACAATGGAATCTTGAAATTTGCAGGCAAACAGATGAAACTTGAAGAAACCATCCTGAGTGAGGTAACCCAGTCACAGAAAGGCAAGCATGAGCCTTCACCCAGTAGCTGATGGAAGCAAAAGCAGGCACCAACAGCTAACCACTGAGCCATAATCCTGGAACCCAGTTGTAGAGAGGGAAGAGAAATGAGCAATGGAGTCAAGGCCATGCTAAAGAAACCTATAGAAACATCTGACCTGACCTAGCGAGAGCACAGGGACCCCAGTCATAAATCTGGGGAACCAGCATAGGACTGAACCAAGCCCTCCAAAAGTGGGTGTCAATTAGGAAGCGTGGGCAGTCTGTGGGACCTCTAACAGTGGAACCAGTATTTATCCCTAGTGTACAAAATGAACTTTGAGAGCCCATTCCCTATGTAGGGAAAATATTTCAGAACAGAAACACAGAGGAGGGCCTAGGACCTCCCCCAAATGATGTGACATACTTGATGATTCCCCATGAGAGGCCTCACTATAAATTGGGGAGTAGGTGGGGGTAGATTGTGGGTCAGTGGGGGGCATGGGAGGATGGAAGGGAAAGGGAACATGGGGACTGATATGTAAAATAAGATTATTTCTAAACAAAAAAGGAAAAATAAGTGAAATTAAAATAAAAAAATATACATAAAAATTGTCACCTTCTAATCTGGTGGTAGTTAGCTGGACAAATTACTTAGCTTCCCTGGGCTACAAATGGCTTTCTGAAGTTCAGGTACATGCCTCATACTGGAATATGGAGGGCTACATGATATTAAAGGTCCATATCCACTTAAGATGCCCAGACCGAAAAGATCAGACTATTGTAACAAGCACTGACCAGAATATAGAGAAATTTGAATCACCATTGTTTATTGTTGAGAAAGTAAAATGGCACACATGATTTGGAAATTAGCATGGCCATTCTGGAAATTTTTAACTTCAGACTAAATTTATGTCTCAACAATATACTCAAAACAACCAAAGTCAGACATTCACCCAACAATTTGAATATTCATGGCAATATTATTTATAGTAGCTAGAACACAAACACAACTTAAGTGTCCATTCACTGAGCTATGGATAAACATAATGTGGTATAGTCACACCCTGGAATATCATGTAACAGCAGAAAGTATATGCACCCCAGAATAATTTTCTAGCCATAAAAGACTATACAGAATATGAGCTACTCCATATGAAAATTTCAGGATAAATAAGTCTCTGTGGGATAGAAAGTATTTGCCAAAAGCTGGAGAGAAGGAGGAATTGGAAGGTTTCCTTTTAGGATAATGCAAATATTTTCACATAAGATGGTTGCACAAAATACACTTTACTGATATTTACTACTTAAAGGGGTATAGTATATGATCTAGGCATGATTTATATCACTCCAAAAATAAAAAGCATTGAAGTATAGACCCTAATCTCACTGAAGATCTGATACAAATCCGTCACCATAGAACATGGCAAAATGAATCCCTAATGGGGGAAGTGGCTACTTCAAGTTACTTAACAGGCTAGTGGCCAAAATGAAATTAGGCTTTAGGTCTACTGATACCCAGTTCATTCATTTAATACACTCATTAATTTGGCACTTATTATGTAGCAAATGCTGTGCTTGTGTAGGTTATAAAGAGCTAAAAAATGTTTCTGCTGGCATAAGGGTTTTTGGGGGAATACTATAAATGAACAAAGTTATTTCATAAAACATCTAATTATGGGGTTAAAAAAATAATCATTTGGTGATCCCATCCATTTTCCACTTTCTCTTCTTCTATGGAAGTGATCCCATAAACTAGATAATTGCTTTCAATTCAATCTCTCTCTCTCTCTCTCTCTCTCTCTCTCTCTCTCTCTCTCTCTCTCTCTCTCTCTCTCTCTCTCTCTCTCTCTCACACACACACACACACACACACACACACAATATGTATAGTAGGGATTGTTCCCAGACCTGGTGATAAAAATAGATCTAACATTCCTAGGGAAAAAGTACATACTAAATATGTCATCAAGTAGTAGCAGGTGACATGAATAAAACAAAGCAGTGTAAAGAGATAGGAAAGAAGAATTCTTTAACTTGGGTGCTGAGAAAAGGTCTCTACAAGGAGATGGCATTTGTAAACTTGAGACCCATAAGGAATACCAAGGCTCATGAAACTAGAGGAGAGGGAGCAAAGGAGACAGAAAGTACATAAAGAAAGTTCAGACAGATAAGCAGGGGTCACTGAAAACAGCATAAAAACAATTTTTATTCGAAACATGAAGAGAGGTCACTGAAAGTTTGGAGCAGAGAGAATGAGGTCATGTGCTTTGCATTTTTGAAAGGATGGACAATTTACTGGCTGCTCTGGAGAATGGATTAGAGGCAGTCAAGCAGGCCAGCACAGACAGCTGGGAAGGGATGGTACAGCTTCAGTGTGTGTGGTCCAAAGGGAAACTAAGGATTTAGCATGTGATGTGTATGCACAGCCAAGATGAATTGCTGATGGATCGAATGTGAGAGAAAAAGGACAACAGCCACCAGGAAAAGACCCATGTTCCTGATGCCAGTGTTCAGGTGCCTGGAGCTGAAAGTTCCTTAGAAGGGAGGGATCACCAAAGGAGCAGGGTCAGAAGCAACATAAACCAAGAACAGTGTTTTGAGCTGAGGAAAGAGTGTATAGCTTAATGATAGAATGATCACTTGTCATTGTACAAAGTCCTAGATTCCAGCCACAACTTTGAAAATAAAATACAAATCATGTTCTAGTTATCTTGAATTTCGAATTTTAGACGTCAGCAAATCAATGTGTGGAGAACAGTTCAACAGAGATTTTGAGAGAACAAAGGTAGAACAAATCCTATATTACAAAAAATCTGCAGCATTTCCACGATATTTGCACACAAGCAACTTAAGAGAGATGGTGTACAATAACAGCATAGGGAAGAGGCTCAAGATCTGTGGAGTCTTCATACATCAAAATTAGAAAAAGAAGGAAAAGCAGTAGTGGAGGATGAGATGAAATGTGAAAAACAAAGATTAATGTCCTGAAAGCCAAGTCCAGTGCTTCATGAAGAGAGGGGAGTGAACTGTCATACATTGCTTACCAACTCACAAGAACAGTAGAGTGCCTGGTTCAGTCATGTGGAGGTTATGGGGAACCTTGACATAAGTAGTCTGCATGGAGTGGCAGGGATCTAAGGCCCACTTTGGATAGGTGCAGTCTCTTCACAAATAATCATTCCATTGGATGCTTTCAATTTTTCACATAGCCTTATCTTTTTCTATCCTATAAGCTCCATGACAGTAGGGGCATGTGGTTAAATTTCATTTGGCCTCTATCAAATTACTTGGAACATGGCAGTTATTTAATCCATGGTAGCTGTATTTAAATTACATTCTCAGAACATTAGCAAGAACCTTGTTCACATACTTCAATGTACTAGAGTAACACACCTAAGAATAACTTGGATTTGTGGCTAGCCTTGCAAGGGATCATGTAGCTTCCATTACAGATCCACCCCAGCCCCATCTATTGCCAATAATCCCATTCCCTCATAAAATACAAACTATAAGCCTTGTCTCTCCTGACTGCTTGTAAGCCAAAGAACTTAGGAAAGATCTACCATTGTAAGGGAGAAATAGCCACACTCCCATTTCTGCTCTTCAATATTTTAGTTGTATGCAATTGTCATGGAGAAGGTAACCACTGACCTTCACTTTCATCCAGGGAAGAAGTATAGAACACTGTCTTTTCTCTCAGCAAACGCTTCGAGATTGTGATTGGTTTGTGCCTTCTTGCTGTCACCCGAGGTGGAGGCACTGGAGGTACTTGGCTGTCCTCAGGTGGACCTAAATATATCTGTAGAGAAGGAAGGGAGATACCCAGGAGATAATTAGGCAAGCTACTCACTGATGCATTCCATCACTGTAACTTGCTGATCACATGAATACTAAAGTGGTTAATGGGACTGGAAAAATTTTCTTGCTCCTTCTAACTACCAGCAAATGTTCAGGTGAATGCATAGAATTGAATCCCTCTGTGTGGAGAAAGAGAACAGGTTAAAAACCAGTAAAGCAAACCTAGATTTTATACTTACTACCAGTGAGACCTCAGAACTTTGAGCCTCAGCATCCTCTTTCAACTGGAATATGAGGATAACAGCAAATTCCCAATGGGTTTGTCAAGCTGCTTTGTTTGGTTGTAGGTGAGGGTAAAGGACTATTAAGCACACCCACGCATACATTAACATATATGTACTTAATAGTTCTAAAAGGACACTTAAGGATCTAGGTAGATTTGTCTCAATGCTGACGAATAAAAAGAAGAAACTTGGTTTTCACTCATATTATTTTGTTCTACTTCAGAAAATGTCATAATATGATATGTTTATTATTTTAAAAAATAGAAATAAAAATAAAATTGACAAGAAAATCCAAAGTGTCATGGATATATTTGGGCTGCAGGAGTACAAGAATAGCTGTGATTAGAAGTGTTAACATGTGGAATGCCTGTTTAAAAGTGGGAAAATAAACAGGAACATTGCATATTGCATGTACAATCAAAAGCCAACATATATTTCACATTTGAAAGCAAAAGAAAATAAAACAGTAGTAAGTGGATGAGTACTGGCACATAATTCTAGGTCATTCCTTTAACTTTGTTTCTCCTATCAGAGAATTGAAATAGCTAGCTAGCATTGTTGCGAGCTCTTGCTCCAGTACTGTAACAGTTACAAATATCCCTTGCTATACCTTATACATTGCCAGACCCTTTGTATTGACTGTTCAGTATATGCCGAGAACTCAGTTCTTTCTCCAACTATCCATATAGCTTGCTTGCTCTGTTTTGCAGGATTCCAATCAAATACACCCTTCTCACAAAGGTCTTCCAACTCAATATATCTGAACTTTGACATGCCTCCCTCTAACCAACACTTCCTATTTCTTCCTTCCCTGAATTTTTGTTTTTTGTTGTTTTGTATTTAGCATTTATCACTTTAAACATGCATACATAAATACTTATATTTAAACAAACATAAATTTTCACTTAGTTTATTTCCTGTCTCCTAACTAGATTTATTGTTGTTGTTGACTCCTCTCCATCATCCCAGTGTTAAAGTATGCTTTACTTTAACATTTCCTCACCCAGTATTCCTCTTACCATGTTCAGACCATATATGTTCTATTACCCTCCCTGCTCCTCTCCCTTGTAACCTTTGTCTCATCTCATGGGCTCCCTTTCCAGTGTCCTGGCAGCTACACAAAGTCACTCCCATATAAATGCACATCTTTAAAATTTTGCTAGGATCTCTATATGAAAGAGAATATATACTGTTTCTCTTTCTGAATCTGTGTTGCCTCAATGTGATATTTTCTAATTCCATCTATTTTCCTTTTCCTTTATTGTTGAACACAATCCATTTTCTTCATTCATTTATCTGTTGTTGGACAGCTGATTTCATTTCCTTGTCTCTGTGTAGAGAATAGCAGTGAATGAGAATGTGCAAGTATCTCTGTGGTAGTGTATAGAGACCTTTGGGCAAATGCTCAGGAGTTGTACAGCTGATTCATATAGTAGTTTATTGCTAGTTTTTGTGATGGCTAGTTTTATTTCAACTTGACACATGCTATACTCATCTGAGAAGAGGGAATTTCAACTGAGAAGATGCTTCCTCCATAGATGAGGGTTCATGCAAGCCTGTGTAGCATTTTCATAATTAGTGATTGATGGAGGAGGACCCAGTCCATGTGCCATCCCTGGGCAGGTGGTCCTGGGTTCTATTAGAAAGGAGGTTGAGTATGACATGAGGGGCAAGCCAGTAAGGAGCACTCCTCTGTGGCCTCTGTATCAGCTCTTGCCTCCAAGTTACTGACCTCACTTCTTTTGATGGTAAACTGTTATATAGAAGTGTGAGCAAAATAAATCCTTTCCTGCACAAGTTGCTTTTGGTCATTGTGTTTCATTACAGCAATAGTAACCTTAACTAAGACAGTTTTCTTCCTTCCCTCACCTTCCCTCCTCTCTCTCCTTATACCCCTCTCCCTTCCCCGGCCCAAAGCCTCCACATTGATTTCCATTATGGCTGTACTAGATTTTAAGCTTTATGATTTCCATTATGGCTGTACTAGATTTTAAGCTTTATGAAAGCAAGTCTACTATGTTTACCACTATGTCTCTGAGACCTGGTGGCCAAAAAATCAAGTACATTTCTAAAGATGACATACAAAGCCAAGTGCATTCTCGTCTAGAAAACACCACTTCAACTACTTTCTAAGCTATGCCAATAGGCCCTTATTTTCTTTCAGTCTGGCAGAAGAAAAAAAAAAAAAGGACAAAACCAAAGAGAAGAAACACATGCACTAATGGTTTCTGAGACATTGAGAAAGTAGCAATGACAGTTAGTGGCAAGCCTTTTGATCACTATCACACTTCAAATAGAAGAGAACTATCCAGTCAGCAGTGCATGAATGAAAGCCCAAGTGGAGCACAGCAGGGTCCTTGATTAGAGGTCGGAAGGGCAAAGAAATAAGAAGCAACCCTGGAAAATACCAGAGAGGAGACAGTTTCCCCAGTTAAAAAAATTTTAAAGTACTTCAGATTGAATGCAACCCCAATAAAATTTTGATAGAGATTTATATGCTTGTTCAAAGACATAGGAAAATGCAAAGGACTTAACCAAAATAATACCTTAGAAGAAAAATAGAACTGGAGGTCTGCTATTACCTGATTGCAGGCCCTATTATATAAATCTATGATAATCAAGACAGCAAGACACTGGCAACAGTGTTAAGATGGATCAATGGATATAGAAAATCCAAACAATACCTATATAGATGATTATATTTTTTCCCAGAAAGACAATTCAGTGCAGAAAGATTAATAATGATAATGAAATAATGGAAAAGTTGTAACAATGGGTTGTGAAAATCAGAATGTTAATCTATATCTTATACCAGATATAAAAACTAAAAACTTACACAAACTTGTTTCTATGCCAAAATTTATAGGCTTAAATAAAAAAATTCTATGAAATAGTCCTTCTGACTTTGGCATGAACAAAATTATCTTAGACACAAGCATTTATAAAAGAAAGAATTGAGAAGCTAAAACTGATTAATAAGAAAAGATTGATATATTAGTCTTTAACAAGTTAAAAAAAAGTGTAATTATGGCAAACATAAGCACAGGTTTAGTATCATTAGATTACAGGAAAATGCCAAGAAAAACTACAGTAAGATCCTACTTCATACTTAACAAAATGATGGATTGACATAAAATGTCACACTGGAAAGGATATGATGGAGTTGGAACACTGATGACTGGTAGGAAACACACACACACACACACACACACACACACAAGTGCATTGGGGCCTGGCTAACAAGTAGCTCAGTGGCAGAGTGCAGACCTAGCATGTGCAAGGTCCTGCATTGTGTCCCCAGCATCACAATACATGTTACAAATGGAGAGGACATTTAAAAAATCACATCTAAATGGTCATATAACTTTTGAAAAGACTGAATACATAAACACTCCCAAAGTGTTTATGGCCCAAAAATTGTGTGTGTGTGTGTGAGTGTATGTGTGTGTGTGTGTTTGTGTGTCTTTGTAAATAAATGAGAATTTCACTGCTTTTTAAGGAAAGCCAAATCACAAAATTACTTGGGAAACATTTTGACAAATTATGAAAACATTAAACATGTTTTTCCCAAATGACCTAAAGAAAAAAAAACATTAATCATGTAGTCTTATACACAAATGTTCATTTATGTGTAATGTTAATGTTCAGAGAAGCTTTACTTGTTACATCAAGGTACAAATAACTCTAAGATAATGAAATAATGCTAGATGGGAAGCCATACTATGCAGAAATAAAAGTAAGAAAGTAGAGATTTGTGCAATAGTTATGGTGGATAAAGAAATAAGAGAAAAATAACAGTACATACATACTTTCTACTACATGAAATCCCTATGGAAGATATGAATTATTATCAGGATATTTATGGTGAATACACAGGAAAAGAAAGTCAGTAAACTACATGTTTCCAATTATAGAATAATGGAAATGAACCTGTGTTGTCAGAAAGTGATCAGTGGTTTCCAAGGTAGGAGTTATGTGGTTGGAGGTAGAGGGAAGACCCGTCAAGGGCAGAGAAGAAAGTACTCAAAGAGACAAATATGCCCATTCTCTTAAAGGTGGTGATGATTTCAGAAATGATTAGATATGTCAAAATTTACTAAGTTGCACACATAGCAAGTGTGCTTCATCTTAAATATGTTATAATTCTATTACCCTGCAAAGCTGTATAAAATGCACCATATAATCTATACATCCCTCAATAGCTTCAAGTGTTTTTGTTTTATAACCATTTGCTTTGTAATACTATCTCTGGATTAAGATGTTAAAATATTTCACCATTATTTTTCTAATTACTGTTTTCCTCTTTTAACACTAGATAACATATTCCCTTCAAAGTCATTTTTGTGTCTTATGACAGAGATAATTCCACATTTAGCAAATATAACAGCCACATTTTCATATTATTAGCCTCTACTATAAACCAGAAAATCAATCCAATTATGCTTTTGTAAGAAAAATATAAATGGTAGGTAGCTATTATGAAAAATAATTCATCTAGAAAAAAGATTATATTAATACATTTAAGGTAAATTATGGGAAAATACAATATACATAATAGTCAATGAGCTAATATCAAATAAGAAATAAGCAAGCTTGTAAAACAGAAAATGGACAAAGGTTTAAAAAACATCTGAAAAAGAAAAATAACTGCCTTAATCTAGAGACAGGAGAGAAGCCCTAGTCCCTACTTCACATGACCTGTCAGGTCTACATGACC